GTGGATATTTTTGTTTGGCTTAACAACGCACTACAGTTTTGAAAAGTGGGTTTTGAAATTACTTTCTTAAGAATCCTTTAAGGAATAAAATCATTGTATGTTCCCTTTCCTTCTTACTCTAGGAATTGTCAAGTAGGTCTTGTGGTCTTATCGTATCGGCACAATAAGCCGAATAGTAGAATCACGATTGTCAAGTCAACGTTCGCAAGTGTGAATCACAGTGCCTTACTTGGTCTCAGCTATAGTGAGTAGTCTTTCTATTTCCTCACTTCTATCTCACCGTCACTGTGTCACACGGATAGAGACAATCTCTGAATGGTTGGTCACGTCACTTATCTGTGCTGCATTTACTTGGCGATGAATAAGTTTTCTTGTTAGTGGCAGAACAAACTTGTAATCGATTTCTTTATGTTTGTTTAGAAATTTTTTAAATATCATTGAGTAATCAACGAATGTCTGGATCAAAAAGTCTTTTATCGAACGAAGCGTAGATACAGTTAACTATACCTTAGACTATAGCGTACGTTAAGTTTGTTGGGACGCATGCGCGACGCGACTAAAAGTGGTTGAAATTGGACCATTTTTTCGACGAGTTCTCATATAGTGCCTTGCTTTGAATAACTGTGGAGTGGTGTAGTATATTTCATGATGAGTCGTGTCCTACTACAATGTTTTTACTTGTTTGGGTTCTATTTGATATTCTTGTAATTTATCGCATGCGATATCTATTTTTAATGTAAATAAACATTATTATCGATGTACGAATACATAAATCACACAAATAAATTCTAAGGTACTTTAAATTTTTTTCTTCATAATGATCGTAAACACTTTTAATCTAATCTTTTGTAAAGTGTTCTTTTTTTTCGTTCTCAAATATTTTATTGACACATATTGTCATTATAAAATAAAAAAAGTCTCTTCGTATTTTTATATCGCTCACTGATCTCCTTGTGAGGGCAAGACATCAGGCGTTAGATAGCGTATTAATAAAATAAATAAGAAAACAGAAATGCTTGTAGATGATATTCTTTAAACTCTTACTAATTAATTTATTACCTATATTAGGTCATAGAAGAAGTAATGTGCAATGCCAGGAATCCTCGCTGAAGTGAACGATACCAGCACTGTTGCGCTTGTCTTATATTGAATCGCTAAAGATCTTAATTAGTTCTCTATTGAGTTTTCAAACTAAAGTTTCGATCATTAAATGTTGTCCTCATCGCCGCCGATAACAATATTTGATATCATTTGCATTCGTTTGGGACAAATCCTGATCATAGCAATGAAGTTAGGTTTTTGTACCAGCTTGCGGCTTGCTTTAAGACCTATCAAAACTCTGGAATTGCATTAATTCTCTATACTACATCTGCACTGCATACGAAGTATAGTCAATAGTAGCAAACACTTTTTCTTTACATAACGTAATGTATGAAAACGCTATCGACTTATGTTCGTATCTCCTAGTTTCGCCTAATCTTTATAAGCGGTTTCTTATTTCTCCAATACCGCTGAGTTGTCAATTGCTTCAGCAAAGACGCGAACCACGCGTGAACCCAGTTCGCCTGCCAGCGCAGCCAAAATAGTAGCTACTTACGCTAGGCTATCTTCACGCCAATAAAGTGTGCGCTAGGTACGTTCACTTCGCTTCAGTAAAATGCGGACGACGCACGGTTGAGTAACTTCACGTCTGTAAAACGTGCGCTAGGCACGGTGGGCAAACTTCGCGGCAACAAATTGTGAACTACATACGCTGGGCTAACTTCACGTCACTAAAATGTGCGATAGGCTGACTTCAAGTCAATGAAAGGCGCGCTAGTCACGTTGGGCAAACTCGCGTCAGCAAAATGTGGACTACGTACACTGGGCTAAGTTCGCGTCAGTAAAATGTGAACTACTTACGCTGGGCTAACTTCGTGTCAGAAAAATATGGACTACGTACGCTAGGCTAACTCCACATTAGTGAAATGTTGGCCAACTTGGCGTCAGCGAAATGTGGGCTAGGCACGGTGAGCCAGCTTCGTGTTAGTAAAATGCGCACTATGCACCGTGGGCTAACTTCCCGACTTTTTTAAAAGGATGACATTTTTTCAATAGCTCGTACGTTATACAGACAGTGCGTATCTGAAAACTTTTCAAATCGTATCAGTGCATGATGCATATCTTCGCATGCATTCTTTTTCGTTTTTACTTAAATGGTTTCAATAAAATGGAATGAAATTATTATTAATTAACTGTTTTCATTCAATTAAGGAAAATAATTTACTTTTAATACAAAATACAAGAAAAAATTGAATAAATTCAAAAATAATTATAAACCATAGTTAAAATTACAATGTCATTAACTCAAAACTAATTGTGATAAATAGTACGGAGGAGGAAAGTGATATTTGCATTAAGGTGAACCTTGGATACCCAAAGAAATATGTATTTTTTGAACACATCATAGAGATTTTCCAAAAAAAAGGCACGTTTTTGACAGAAAAAAAAAAAAAAAAATTTGGACCGATTTAGGCCTCTCGATATCGGACAAACTTGATCGTGGTTTGAATTGGCCATAGGCCAATATATATAGTTCCATGGCATAAATCCTGTTCATAGAAAGAACTAAAGACTATTCAAACGATGGCCTTGTTCTATCTTTACCCGTTTCAATGGTCAGCTGACCTTTTTACATGAATTCAGGTCTTCTAGAATGACGCCGATTTTTGTCTTAAAAGGATTTAAGAAGTCATCAGAGAGGCTCAAAGTCAAAAGCAGCGCTGAACGAACAATAAACGAAATTCAGTCAAAGAGTTTTATATAAGCAGTACTAATACAAAAGGGTTCCTCGTCGATCTAGAAAATTGTAGTTGTTCGAACAAAGGATTTGGCGCTTGTGACTCAAAGGTTTTATAGAGATATAAGAGACATAAGAGAAGATTTTCGGAAAAGCAGGAACGCAAGAAGGGAGACTTGGTCTTTGCGTCAAACATTACAGACGAAGCCTGTAATAGGGCTGACAATCACTTGAATTTATGATCGCAATGTATTTTATTCGATAGTAAAAAAAGTGCCTGATATCTTGAAACTTACAGGCGGACAGGCGGCCAGACAGTCGTAGACTAAGAACAGAACGAAAAACTTTTCTGCATCAATCGATAAAATAAAAGATAGATCTATCTTAAGCCTTCGTGGATGTAACATACATCCGCAAAAACCTAACATACCCTGTACCGCAAAGAGTATAATTAATTAATTTTGAACTACATGGGTCTATATATTGGAACTCATTCCATATAAAATTTCTCATAAACAGTATGACCTTAAGACAAAGGCTTAATATTTAATATTTTACAAGACAGATGAACAGTAGAGAATTTGCTTTGCATAGATTTACTGATAGACATGTCAGGGTCATCATGAAAGGTAAGCCCTTATATGGAAAGAAAGTATAATATCTAGTTTTCAACGAAGTAAACTGAAAAATAATGAAATTTTTGGGAAGCAGTGGTCGAAGAAGCGAACCGGTCGTAACGTTGATATGGCTGAACTTATTCGAAGTGTTCAACTTTCATTGTTGCCATTGATGGATTATTCCCAATTCGACCAATAAGCAAACATCAAACCATTATTTTTTTAAATGTGCTCCTTTCACTTATTCTGAGCTTCTTATTATGCCGTTTCCACAAAACCTGCCATATAACGTGATGTAATTTATATATAACTTGTTCACTTAGTAACTATTAACCCTGAACTATTTGCCATATTTGGCCATCGGTTATGCTCGAAAGAAAAGCAGAAGGAGGAAAATGATAAGGACAATAAGGAACTCATTGTCTACTAATTTCCTGCATTTCGGCACATCAAAGCAATCAAGCTGGTAGCAGTTTTGGGCGACTTTTTCGTGAGCTGCTAAATTCTCATTCATCTCTCGGTCGATTAAGTTAACAGCTCTTATATGTTTGCACTTTTTGAATTGCTTCATTTTTGCAGGTATATCTTTGAATTAATCGGATTTATTTTTAAATTTCAATTAACCTAAGAACACATGTCACAGACTTCAGGAGTTTTGCCTCAATTTTTAATGCATTAGAAGAATTTTCTTAGTAAACGAAAGATGGACAGAGGCATAGGCATAAATTAAATTTACTTGGAATCTGATTCTACATACATGCAGTTTTGGGTGCTATACAAGATCTCAAGAACTTAATGCAACTCCGTCCTACTCTACTAGGGAACAAGAATATATTAAATTTGCACAGAGGGTATGCAAAATCTAGCATAACTTATTACAGATTCGCCGATTAATACAGAATCACTTTTTGCATCGATTTAAGCTTTTCCGTCCGTCTGTCCGTCTTAAGTTCAGGTGTTCAATCTATAGAGAAATTTGGCGCGTTAAAGTGTTTTGGGCCAAAGGGAATGGTTCTGATCGGATCACTTTCGGAATCACTTCTTATATACCACACCTCTTTGAAAAGTCGTTACATGAATATTTGCGGAATGGTGTAGGGCATTTATTTAATGGTGAGCCGGAGCTTACTATAAGGTTTTTATTTGTTTTTATACGTTTTTTAATTTTATTATTGTTCACACAAACTTTTACAATAATAATGTTTTAATCAGAGAAGAGAAAAAGACTAGATATAATAACTTAATAATACGATTGCTGCGTATATAAAATTACTTTCAATAGCAATGGGAAAAACAAAAAAAAAAAGTTAACTAGAAAAATTCGTTAGAAGTTGAATACGTGTTTTGATTAAAAAAAAATTATAATAAATAAATAATAATATATTCGAAAAGATATATATTTATATATATTTATATATACATGTATATATATATAATATATAAAATTCGCCTTAGAAAGCATAGATCGAAATCTCTATATATGCACATTAATAGAATTTTTTTATAATTTATTTATAAGGCGCAGTACTTTTTAGGCAAGCTAACATTTCAGTATCACATATAAAACCACCACCCACTGCTGCAAGGTCACATTGTGTACATACGTGAATATCGCTCTCTATCTCTTTCTCGGAATTCTTTTAATTGAAATTGAAATCACTAACAAATTTCTCTGGGGCTATGTTAAGCGATTTGCATGTTTTTCATTTATTCGCACTTTACTCAATTAATAAAATTAATCATAAACACTTGATAATTAGTAAATTTTCAATTGATATAAATTAATTCTTTCTGTTTTGATATAACATTTTATTTTTGTAAAATACACTTGTACACACAAACATTTTTATTTACTTTTTTTTACTTTTAGTTTTTTCTCCCCTTCCTCTGAAGGAGGTTTAGTGTAAGTAAGTCATGTGGTTAACCTTTTCAAATGAATTCAAATACGTTATTGTTATCGTTGTTGTATGAAAATTTTCACGTTATTATAAGAATCGTAAAGAAAAAAAAAAAAAAAAAAACTGCTGATATAAGCTTAAAAACAAAAAAAACAACAAAAAAAATCAATATAAAGAGAAAACCGCCGCCAAAGTTTGTTTTGTTTTAATCCATCCGATCACTACCGCAGTTACTTAGCAACTCTCTAGATAAATGGCTAGGAAACGGTCAGACAGTCTCAATAAACTTACAAACGCACAACAACAATAACAACAAACTTGTATAGAGAGTTTTTAATGAAAATTTTCTCTTTTATATACAATGGGTTTCTCTTCGCATTTATCGGTATTTTCTTTTTCATTCATTGTCCCGAACTTATGTAAAGATCTATCTTCTTTCTGTATGCCATTTTTCTGTTATTATTATTATTATTATTATTCTTATTAATGTGATTTCTAGCATTACTATTTCTATTATTATTTCTATTCTTCTTCTTTCTCCTCTTTCTCACACTCTTCCGCGCTTTCTTCTTATCTTTATTTTTATTCTTCTTCTTGTTATTATAATAATTATTGTTATTGCTATTATTATAAATTTTGCTTTAATTCTTCTTCTTCTTATCATTATTATTATTACTATTGTTCTTCTTGTTACTATCATTGTTATTATTGTTATCACTATTTTTTCTTCCTCCACTTCCTCCTTTTTCTTTGTCTTTTTATTTTTTGTTTTCTCTTTTTTCTCCGTAATATTACTATTGCTCTTAATATTATTATTAATATTCTTCTTCTTCTTCTTCTTATTATTAATATTATTGGCATTATTATTATTATTCTTATCAATTCCTATTATGGTTACTATTATTATTTTTACAAGTTTTATTTCGGATCTCGTTCTTCTTCTTATCATTACGATCGTTATTATTACTATTATTGTTATTAATTTAGACAGAGATATAAATTCTAAGGCTAAAGCAATAGCATTAAAGCTATATGCATTATTAAAAACTCTACCGCGTTTGAGATTCGATCCCACGACCCTTGAAGGTACTAACGGAGTTTCTTTGCCTTCGACTACTCAAGCCGATATATTATCATTATTATTATTATTATTATTCTTGTTCTAATTATTATTTATTTTTATTCTTTTTTGTGCTCTTTATCATCTTTCTCTTATTCTTCTTATCGTTATTATTATTAATATTACTCCATACACTCTATGTTCTTTTATATCTTTTTCCTCTTCTCCTTTTTACTATTATTTTTATTATTACTATTCTTCTTCTTCTTTTCCCTTCCTTTCTTCCTTTTCCTCTTCTTCGTCTTTTTATTTTTCGTCCCCTCGCTCTTCTTCTATTACTTTTGTTGTTATTAATATTCTTCAGTTTCTTCTTCTTATTCATATTAGACCGATTGGTTTCGGCAAAATTTTTGAGATATTTCAGTGATAAGTGTTTTGATTCAAAGGCAAACGCTATCAGAAACCGTTCGGATCCCACTACTTGTTCGAGCATTTCTGATTTTGGAGAGTCGTTCTATGAATACCTACATTAAGCGAGGTTATGTAGGGTGTAGGTAATGTTAGGATGCTATGATCCTTTCTTGCATATATATTACTAATCAACTTCAATTACTCAGCTGAGGGCTTTTGGAATTTGGAATAATTATTAAAGCAGGGTTTTTGGCTTTTTAATAGGACACCGTAAGGTTTTTAATTTAATCACTAGAACTTTTAACCTTTGGCTAGCCATGTAATCAGAAAGCGCGGCAATGAAGTGGGCATGCTCGGATTCAATTTTCAGTTTCGTAGAGCGTACGTTAATTGTGATTGGTGGCCGGTGGCTGTAGTGAGTGGTCGGTCGCTGAAGACCACTCTAACTATCACCTTGTCTGTTCTCCCCATTAAGTAGACATACCCTGATCAACTCGTTAAAATAAAACTCGAATTATCAGATCGCGCTCCTCTTCTTCATCTTCTTCTTCTCTGCTAATTCTTAATTAGACAAGTCTAAGCAGCCATGTATAGCATTATATCTTAACAGAACGAAATATCTCTTAAATATTCCCGAAACTTTTTGATAGGATCGCGAATACTCCCTCAAGTTACTTGCTCTCTTATGAATTGAAAGCATAAGAAAACTCATTATATCTGTTGCAATTTTACTTCTCCAGTTGCCGTTTTCATATTGTTGTTGTTCTACTTACTCCAATACCTTTATCGCATATTTTTTTTTTTTTTTTTTTGTTCTTCGTCTAGCCTTTACTTTATGATAAGAAGTTTATACTCGTGTGTTTAGTTTATTGATAGTAAACTCGTGTATTTGTACTCCATGCATATACCCTTTGCATATGCTTAGTTTTCAAACAGATAAGCCCATGTGATGTCAGGCTCAGAAGATGTAAAGAATATTTTTAAGCAAAAAAAAAAAAAAAACACAAAATTCATGGAAATTGTTATACGATATTGCATTGTAATCATAACGTTTCACTGAGCGACGAAAAGGGGGCCGTACCATAGTCGCTGTTAAAAATTTTTGATGAATAAGAGGATTTTTTCTTTCTGTAATCAGTTTTGCTCTTTTTTTTCCCCCCTTTTTGATGACTTGTTTTCTTCTTCTTCTTCTTTTTGTAAATATTATTGCTAAAATCAATTTTCGTTTAGCGTTGTTTGGCGCTTATCATGTTTAGAATTAAAATGCTTTGTAATGCTAAACGTTTATAAGTTGGTGAAGGGCATATCTGATTCCGAGCTCTTCTATCTAAAATAAACGCACACATCCCCAGCGAGTGTCAAGTCATTTTCCATTACCTCAACTAAATCGCCATAGAGCAAACTATGGTAACAGTTATCCTATCATGAGAAATATAACTTGATTCACTTTGGCGTGAGTTCTTCAGTCATAAAGTCGAAGAAGTCTATTCTTCTTTGTTGGTGATCAGCTAAACCATATTGTAACTGATAGTTAGGAGCCCAGTTCGGTTAACGCTTTCCTCTTTAAGCGTAGAAAGCCTGTTTCTTGGTCGCGAGGAGGGGGAATGTGTGTGGCCTTGAGATCGGTCGATGAAAAAAACAGCTAAGTCTCTCTTTAGCATATTTTTTTACTTAGGAATAAGTAACTAGCGACGTAAGATGATGGGAGCTTATGTATATTTATTAAGTGATTTTATCCACTTCTGGATTTCCACATCCCTATGCTCTTTTGATCCTTGCAAACAACTCAGAACTTTTTAGTAGAAGCTCCATTAATTTTACTTAAATACGTAATGCTTAGGATAAAGTATTAAACCCAGATTACTGAGCATTTCGATAAGTTTGGGAAACTTTCATCTCGATTCGTATGTAGTTTCTCAATAAGCCGTTCAGTGAGAGTTATAATCGACGGGTTTGCTTTCAATGAATTTCGAGAGGCACCACAAAGCCTTATGTTGTTTTGTTCTTTCTTTGCTGGGTACCTCGCAGTACCTTGCGTCGTTAGTTTTCTACACTTTCCAGCATCAAGCTGCAAAACAAACGATCCATCAACTGAGACCTTATCGAAATGTTGAAATTTACTTAGGCAAGTAGTGTAAATTTTAATGTCAACAGGGCGCAATGCTGCCTTTTGCTGCATGGGAAGATTAATGAACATTTCCGTTGATTACATCGACCCAATTGATGATCACAGCATTGGGAATGTGGTATCTATCGTACATTGATGAACAAAATATGTCATTTTCTAGATCATCTCTCGCATAGATCCAATTGATGGTCACAATATGGGGAATCTCTGCATTGATCTTGACATTTCACTCGATCAAGATATTAACTTTAATCTCTTTATTCCATCAGTTTGATGACAAAGCAAAAAATTGGTTGGGCTTTATATAAAAAGATGCTCGAAAGACTTTGATGATCCCTCTTTAAGAAAGAGTTTTTATGCGGCACTTGTAAGACCTATTTTTGAGTAGGCGTCGGTGGTCTAGGCTTCAAGCCATTTTGGTCAGCTAGATAATAGATGCTTGTGTTTGGTTTCGTCATGTTTTCACTTGACAAAGACGTTTATTGAAAAATATATGATAATCAATAAGTTTTCCATCATTTTCTGGCAATGATCGTGTCGAAAGAACTTGTATTGGTTTGGCAGCGATCCAATCATCGATCCATTTTCGCATTTCTTAAACTTTGCATAGCTGCGTGCAAGTCCCGCCATGCTGCATCGAACTGAACAAGTGGTTTTCGGAAGGCTTCATGTCTGGTAGGTGGGTTGGGTATGGCAGAACTTCCCATTCGAGCTGCAAGAGTGTATCCTAGACAACAGTGGCAACAAGCGGCCAAAAAACGGGCTTTTCAATCAGTTTCGTGTCGCCAGTTTCAAGATTCCCTCTGAATGTGTTCGGTGGGCCTCGGTAGCGGATTTCTTCAAATTGAACAACAAAAGTGTTGAAGGTTGAAAACACCATTTTGGGCGCTCCATGATTAGCTTCAGCATAGACTAAATGCAAAACTGTTATGTTACATAGAGAAAGGTCGAAGTTGTCGAATGAAACCGTTATGTACAGTGATATATCTCATTACTTTAGCATTTTTACCTATAGAAATTGGTGACTAAAATTAACGCAAGCATCTAACAGTACCGAAACAGTTCAAAAACAGTTCTTCCGCTTCGCCGTGTGTGCACTACGATGTGTTGCATTTTTATCTCTTCCGCCCTACGGAAATCGCTTCTAATTAAGTGGTTTAAGGGCACTTGAGAAAAGAAGGCATCAGTTAGGGATGTCCTTTGTCCTACGTTTAAGCTACTAAAGAAAGGCATTAGCTCCCCATGTTTACTCAGTCCCACAAATCACGAGGCGAT